GATGAAGAGTTGTTCCTGTGTGAACAAGCTCACAAAGTCCCTGGCTATTGGAGCGAGAGGGAAACCTTAAACCTAAGGGGTACGGCCATCTATATCGGAACAATTTTAAGAAAAATACGTACAAGTTCTAGGGCCAAAGTAATCAAAATACAACCAACCATTTTAACAATGATAAATTAATACTTGTGACGTCTTCAACATCGATTTCTTGTCACTTTTTGACAAAATACAGACAGTGATTTTGATAGGGCATCGATCTCCATTTCATTCTCAAACACTGAATTTCTACACATTCAACATTTCCTTCTGAAAAGCCAATATGGTGAACTTTCATGAACACAATAATTTGGTATTTCTCAAGTCAACTTAATTCATTTTCAACATCTAAAGGGTTAATTAAGACACAAAATCATGGAAATTTACAGTTATCCCACTGAGATTGATTTTAGGACGTTTCCAGGAAATCAGGACCAATATACATGTAATTAGGATCGATTGGCAACAACGTTTCAACAATAACCATGGCCGAAAGGTTGTATAATGCCTTAGCGACGAAAATCGTGTTTCACTGAATACAGTAAAATAGAAAAATGCATATTTCATGTCTGGGACGATCCTAACATGAGTATAAAAACATCTGTTATGCTATTTATTTAAAAATGATTAGCTAGATAAGTAATTTAACTGCATTATTTCAACATCACTATCACCAAGCCGGATGATTTTTGGTAAGGTCGTTCGTGTAAGGTTTTAAATCAGTTGTAGTCTAATTCTGCTCGCACATAATCATCATACTTCACTTTGACACTGGAGCATTTGCTCCAAGTGGGCAACAATCTAAAATCCCCCGGTCTGACATTCACATTTGTTGGTCTCAGCTAGGGACATCACATTTTGAAGAGGTATGCAGCTACCAAGGAATCCTTTGGTTAAAGTATGGAAGGAAATTTCTCACGCAAATGCTATGGAATGATAAACTGACGTGTGCTGTATGCTCCTCAGTGTTCAGAGAAGTGTATTTGAGTTGAACAGTTTTGACTGCTTATGAAAACTGATTGACTCATTCCACCCCGGGTTGTTTCGGTTGTGTCCAAACTAGGAGAATGACCTAACCTCTAAGGCACACATCCGATGCTAAAAGTTCAGCCACATCGGGCTAGTATGAAATTGGAGAGAAAGTGGTACAGTGTAATCCATTTGAACAGATGTTGAAGAAGTCTGTTTTGGCCCAGATTCCGATAATCTGGAAATGCCACGTACACTGTTATTAAATTTGGGAGTTGCCGATAGCATTGGTATGATTTGAATATTATTCCCTGCAGGAGTAAACCAGTGCTGCGTCTGCAATGTAGGTCAGCAAAGGTCAAATATAGTTAAATACAGTTTGGTTCTGTCCATGGGGCAGTATCTACCGGTATCCATACTGTAGGTGGATAGTGCCGGGTAACACATTAACAGTAAATACTGCCTAGATGTTATGTACCCATGCCTCTTGAGTGCATGCACTTCAGGTCTTTCAGTTCTTTCTTTTTTTATTTTGTTTCTTTTTTTGATTGGTGTTGTTTTGGTTCATTTTTCTTTGATTTGTTAAGTTACATTGTTAAGTTGTTTATTTCTCGTTTTTTGGGGGGGGAGGTTGAGGTGCAAGGAATAACATCGGAAAGTTCTGTTTTGTTGTGCTTTCATGTTACCTGGTTTCTGAAGGTGAATCAGACAAACTGCAAGTTTTGTCTGCTCATATATGTACGTACATGTACAGTATCTGTACACATACAGTGTACATGTATGTGTGTAATTTATTCAGAAGACCAGCATGCCTGATGGACAAAAAATGTTATGGGTACTAGCTGGGATCAGTGATACATGTACGTGTACATCCAGAATTATTAGGCTGTGGTACATGTACCTCAGCCTAATAAATCTGTCATTAACTCATAGCACTGGCCTCGTTCATAGCAGTAAAGTTCATTAAGGGGAAGTTTCATCAGACTTGCTTGCTGGCATTCCTAAAATTTTCTTCAGTGTTTGGAGGGAGTTGTGGAGTGAATGATTCATTCTGTCCATTCCTAAGAAATATGTATGCTCAAAGACATCAAGAGATATTCATTTATTGCTTTTGTCAAAGAGTTTTAAGTGCTGTGAGCAAATGAACAGAACTTGGAATAAATGAAATCAAATCAATAAATTTCAGACTGATCAATAGATATGTTGATGGGGAGAGAGTTGTGTTTGGGGGCTAGCAACTGAGAAAGTGTGGTCCTCTGTATTCCTGGTGTTGAAAGTAATGACCAACTGGGCTTCCAAGCAGAGTCCTAAGGCTTGCTTAGGTTGACAATGTTGGAGAGTTTTGTACATGTTGAGTGCACTGTGCAGTGATGATGTTGATTTCTAATGATTTCATTTTATACACTAGTTTGTTCTGTGTGTAAAATAGATACATTCCTGCTACCACATGATGTAGACTTTGCAATTGTGCTTTTATCTGTGTCTAGCAGAGTTACTGACTCGAGTCATGTGACTTGGACTTGAGTCGCTATTTTTATAACTTGTGACTTGACTTGTAAATACCAGCTTTGACTTGTGACTTGACTTGGACTTGCAAAAAATGACTTGTTACCAACCCAAGTCAGACGCTACTCGACCGGCTCCATATATTTTTAATTAAGCTATTCAGTTTATGCCTAACGTGCATAAAAAGGACTTCGGCTTGCGTGGCTTCTACTTCATCCAGCTGCAGCTATTGATCAGGGCAGCACGCATATGCTGCTATGCTCTGCGTTGATGCGTGACTAGGATAAACAGGGCCGTCAATATGTCATCATTTCATCTCCCCGCTTATTTCCACCCCACAAAGAACATTTATTAAATTAAACAGAGGTCCAGTATACGACATATATGTGATAAACTGCAAGAATAGTAAATTTACAACACAAGTGAAAATGGGAATTAAGGAGGCATTGTCAAAACAATTAGAGAAAAGGTGTTCAGAAATTCATAACTCGTAACTTCGTAAGTTGATGCCTGGTTCGTTTGCTTATTACAGCTGGACAAAATAATGTGCAGCTTGACTTGTACTTGGACAGACTTGTGACTTGACTTGCGTTTAGACAGAATGACTTGTGACATGACTTGAGTTGACTTGCCCTGTGACCAAATGACTTGTGACTTGACTGCTGACTGGGCCTAATGACTTGTGACTTGACTTGGACTTGCATGCATGTAATGACTTGTGACTTAACTTGGACTTGCAAAATATGACTATCTGGTGTCTAGAAATCTAAGTGGAATTACCAAATATTGTATAACCACTTAGAGGAAACAAATTGTGGGACAAAAAATGAAACAGCTGGATGATGTGTGTCCATTGTTGTAGTTGTTACGTGAATCCCATACGAGCAGCATAAAAAGAATACTTTAGTTGCACCTTTGAGTCCAGACGTTTCAGGGTTACTCAATGAAGAAAGGGAAGAGCATTCCACCATTATCACAAATTTTAGGGAAATGTTTTCCTGAAACATAATAATGCTGCATATATATTTACACTTATCTGTAAATAGACATGCACGTGCATAGACCAAAATGATTACCATCTGGAAGAAATTAAATTGGCAGCGCTAACGATCAAAGAAAATTTATTGGTCTTGCTCCTTTGAAGATTAGGGCAGGAATAGCATTAACAGAAGTTAACTGAGTATGAACTAGACCCCTCTACAGTTCTGGGGCAAGGGTAATGTCCCTGAGGTGCCCAAGCTTTCAGGAACTCTTCTTAGCAGAGGTGCAAGAAGAGAAATAATCCACTTGTAGATTCAGAATGACTCCCTGAAGTATTACGCAGTTTCCTAATACACAACTACAGTGTATACTAACATGTACTATACAAACATGGCCAGTTTTATAAGTTTAATGTGTATGTAGTGAGCTCTAATGTACATTGATTGGCTTTGAGTGGACTTACATGTACATGTAGTGTCGTACTGAAAAACCTGAAAATTGAATACATCTAGTTTTAGTGAATTTTTCATCCCTAAGGCTTCTACCAGTGTGTCGCTACTGTACAAAACCTGTGTACATGTACATTATAAGTGTCTTGTTTGTAGAAATGCACAAACAAATCAATAATGCTGTCGTTCATAGAATACGAAATGTAAAATGGTGAAACTTCTTGTGGTATCATTGTGTAATTGTGCAGGCTGCACATACCAGTAGCACTGGTGGATCACAACTAAGAAAGTGAAATGTCATATATTCACTGATATGCTCCTCCAAAATTCTAAGGGAAAATAAGTTAATTTCACTATAGAAGGTTTAAGACACGTGCTTTGAGGACAGTTAACAAATCCATCTTGACTTAGGATTACTACAAAACAAACTCAGGCTGTGATCTACAGAGCAATTTTGTTCAGACTTTTTTGAAAGTGTGTCATTTATTGTAACTGAAAAAAGACCTAAACGTGTAGATCAATATCAAAGTCATATTACCACACACAATATTCCAGCAGGACATGTCTTGCTGCAGAAACTGGAGCTGTCTGTGGAATGTTTTCCTAGACTTGCTCTTTGTTTAATAGCACTATCTAGTCTCCATCTCAAGTGATGGTATCAGATATGTCCAACAGTCAAGGTACATGTTAATGACCTGTATCGTGAAGACAAACAAATGCAATATACATCTACATGTATGCCATTTGTTACTTTGCCACTGCACTGCATATCATGTTTCATAATGATGATAACAAACTGACTCATGAGTTTTCAGATTTTGGTTAAAAGGTGTGAAAATGTACACATACATGTATGCACTTGATTTCAACATTATGTGTAGGATACATGTGCTTCAGCCTGGAGATACGCTGTATGAATCATACAAAATGTTCCATGGGTTGTAATGAATCATGTCTATTGTGTATGTGGAAACAGCGTGCAGTTTGTAGCCCATGCATGTATACATTTATATACACCAGTTAAAAGCCATAATGAATCTTCTTCTTTCTTTGATGTAGTTACGATCTTGGAGGAACAGCACCGGGTATCATCACCAGCTCTGTCACAGTATCCCTTGGTAAGTGGCATACAGTGACCATCAATCGAGATAACTGGGATGGCTGGATCCAAGTGGATGAAGAAAAACCAGTCAAGGGAAAGTCAAAGGTTTGTCGCATTGTTTTCTAGAATGGAAGTTTTCTTTTTAAATTACACTTATTTTTTAAATAAATGTACTTGCAATTTCTCTTTGGGTCAGGTGATTTTCTTAGTGTTCCCAAATATGTGTATACCACATTAAACACACTGAGGGAATCTCAGAGAATCTACCTGTACTTACAAATTACAGTCTTATATGCAGGTCAGAGAATGCCATATTTGATTTGACTGCAGCCACCAATGCCTGTCAACTAATGCTGTTTTCTTTAATTAAACTTCATCTTAAATCTTGTCATATATTGCTAGATGTCTGTAGCACGAGAGGATGAAGGTAAAGATCTGTGCAGAATTTGATTAGTTTCAAGACATTCTCTTTTAATATTCCTTGTCAATGCCTCAACAGTAGATTAGACCGTTTTACATGTAGTTACCTGCTTAGTGATGTTCTATGGCATGTGATGGGGAATATAGACATTTGAATATGCTCTCGCTTTACCCATTTGAATGTTGAGTGTAACTGAGAATAAGCTTTTTCAAGAACTTTAAATAACTTGGGTATGACCTTTCTCATCATGAACATTTTCATTACAAGAAGATTTGTTTTGTAGCAAATGTTGAGAGAAATGGGATATTAAATGAACATCACCTTAAAAGAAAAATATTCTACAAAAAGTTGTCTGCTACATGTTCATGTAAATGTTCAAAATGAGCAAGCAGACACAAGGAACCAAATCCTTTGCTTTGGACTTGTAGAAGCTTTTTGTGCTGACTTCGAAATACAAGTATCATGATGTTCTGCAAAATTCAAGGCATGTTGCCACTTTGCATAGTATTTGATCTTCAGACTTTGTTGGTGAAGGAACCTGTATTGTGAAGACATGCGCGTGTACATGTACATATACTGTATATACATGTACATGTGCATGTACTAGTATGTACAGTGTACAATGTACATGTATGTACCTGTACATGTCGTAACCCATGGATGTAACCATAACCCTTGCTATGTCAGGTAATGATATGCGCTGTGCAGGTACATTGTACATGTATACGGTATGTGTACTAATAATAGGCATGTACAACCATACATGTACATGTACCCTTGTAGACCATTTTCTAATGTTACCATCTTGGACCACCTTTTACAATTCATGCATCTCAGATAAGTCCATGAAGATGCTGTTAATTGAATTTGGCTAATTGAGTTTAAATGTGTCCCCTGAGTTTCTCTCAAAGAGCAGTTTGTCACCAAGGTATTTTGGAATGCAAGACAAACAAAAGCATATTGAAGACCAGAATAGGTGTCCTTTTTATTCATTCTGCCAGAAAGGAAATTCACAGAAACCTTATTGGCTGTAAGTCTTGAACATGCCCATTTCTGATTGATGAGGTTTGGTGAGGACACTAAGTATGGTTCAGATAAGAGTTAGTGGGTTTAATGGATATTTTGATTAGTATGCTCTTGTTTCCCACAACACTCATTCTTACATGTAGAATGAGTTCAACTCAAGAGCAGTCTCAGGGATGGCTGGTTGGGGGTGGAGGGGTTGAGAATTTCAAGTGTGAAACCTAGCTTAGTTTCACCCCCCTTCGTCCCGGGGACACCCCCAAGTTTTTGTCGATCGGGAAAAGCCTTTATGTAATGCTGAGTGATCACACATAGTTGTTTCCAGATTATGGGGACAACACATTTTGAAACATAGAGGATATGGGGACCAAAAGCATTATGGGGACAAATTAACACGGTTCCAACTTTCCTGACAAAAGCAATTGCTTCCTCAAAGCAATGAAGGCCTACCCATCTTGGCCAACACATGTTGACAAGACAGTTTCTACTGATGAGAAATGTTTAACCATGTTTTGGATGCTATGTTTTTCAGTATGTGTGTTTATCCCATTGAGGAAGGCTGTGATTGTCCCCACAACTATTGGGTTGAGTATTCATCCACATTCATTTATGAACTTTGAACAAAAAAGCCAGTGTCAAAGGGAGCCCTACACAGAAAATGAAACTTGTGTGAACAATAGCAGGGCAATAAAAGGTCCATTATTAAAGGTGTTGACAAACACGTGTGTATGTCATTCTATAAATTTGAGGTCCAAAAGTATGAAAGTTTTGGTGTCCCTGTTACACCCAACCTGTGGAAATTGACATACTGGTACATATAGAAATATCGTTGAATTGGACTTAAACTGCATCACTTGTTTGGCAGGTATTTTGCATTACTTAATCACTCTTAGAAATTAAAGACTATGTGCTAAACTTATAAAATCAGTCGTTAGATGTAACAGCGACATGAAAAGAATTGTACACCTAATTTTACAGAATGACCCACATGACACCTGCAGCTGCAGTTTTTGTTCCCTGGGGAGCTGAGAGGGTTTTCAGGGAATGCACAATTGTAGTTTCATTGTGAGCAGAAAAGTACATGTAGTAGTGGATATGCAGTAAACAAATATTTCAGTAATCACAGGCTGTAAGTGCTCATGCATTTTGTTTTACTCCATTCAATAATTATAAATCATATTCTACAGGTTAAATTAGTTTAATTGAATTGACAGGTGGTCATTTTGTATTTGAATGCATTTGCTTTTTCTCCTCCAGGGATTATACTCCAAGCTAACTCTCCGTAGCCCCCTCTACCTTGGTGGCCACAGTAACTACACAGCAATCAGCCAAACTGGTATTGGGACTGGATTCTCGGGCTGCGTGGAGAGACTTGTCATCAACAATGTAGACTTAGACATGAGGCAGGAGCCTAGAGGCTTTGGAGTCGCTGGTGTGGATGTAGGTAGGTATGGATAAGCCACCCCTCCCCTCCACCCCCTCACCCATTACCCCAGTGATGGTCCTTTCACATCATTGTACCTGGCTGAATTATACCAGCCCAGTAGATGACTCCCCGTCATAACTCATCATCATGTTTCAGCAAAGACAGTACAGCTTAGTCCAGGGTGTAAACTACTGTACAGCATGTTAGACAGGGTCGTATTTCTCAACTTGTAAACTTACCTGAAGACAGGCAGAACTGCAGTCCTTCAACAACTGCCTAATGATACTTGATTGTTTTTAATAATATCCATCACCCCATTCATTCAGCAAAGACCTTGTGAGATGAGCAAATACATGTTCCAAGGAAAAATGAATGGACTTTGGACAAGCACTCCTACTGTTCACTTTGGTTGAGTCACAGTTTGGGCCTTCAAAATCTTTTTCCTCAATAATACTCACAAAAACTGCAGATTTTGAGGGCATAATTCAGACCTCCCAACCTTTTCGATTTTGGTGGGAAATTTCCACTTTTCCTGTCGTTATACGCTTTTATGCATATGTTTTCTGAAAAAAGAAAATCCCGTCGTTGGTCAGTATTTTACCCCCAAAGCGATCAATAAACGGCGTGGCAGGCATTGCGATATGCACATGCAGCTCATGCATGAATGGTTCAACTGGTTGGTGGCACGCTAATTCGCTGGGCGCATCTTTGGAAAGGGGCAAATTACTAATTTGATCTCCATATAAATCTAAGACAGGGTTCCCGCAGCCTGGAAAAGTCATGAAAAAGTCATGGAAATTTGTAAAAATGACTAAAGTCATGGCAAACTTAAGGAATTTTTCAAACACAGTATTTAATTTCTGTTACTAGATATAAGTGCATAAAATATATGATTTTATTTGCAACTCTAAAAGTCGGGAGAGTCCAAGAAATTGCGTTATTTGGTCATGATTTTCCTAATTTGGTCATGGAACGTCATGGAATTTATTTGTCCTTTAGGTGCAGGAACCCTGTTAAGAGCTTGCCCAAGTTCAAAATTTGCTTGCACAAATCAGAAATTTGAGTAAAATCTTTGCCCTCCAACACTACTCACACATGCAAACAGTGCTGTACCAGCACGGTCATGTCAGCCTGTGCCAATGTGCGGCACGCAATAGTGTGCACAATTGGTTTTGTTTGTTCATTTATTTAATATATTATTACAAACAATTCAAACATGCTATTGTCACTTTTATGGTCACTTTTAATAGTGTTCTTTTTATTATTGACTACAAACTTGTAATTGATTACTCCATTTAAAATGGCAAAATATTTCGAAGACTTGTAAAACTTTATTTCCATACTGTCACTGGTTCCCGCAATGCTTACACATAAGGTATTGCTTGTGTAGTGAAACGACCTAAGTTACGACCTAAGTGGGTACATTCTTATGAGGAAAAACATCTTTAATGCAAGCTTGGTTAATACCAGATTTTTGTTAAGACAAGCGCTTTTTCCAGCTTTTACCCATAAAGGTCTCTCTTGAAGTCAAAGTTACACGTTCAAGTTCTGTACACCCTCTACTGCCCACCCCAAAATTCACTGGTTTCCTTCTCTATGTATGTATATAAAGTTGCATCTTTGCAGTCAGTCACCAAATAAAATGTTAATATACGTATTTGCACATTCTCTTGCAGCATCGACCACGATGGTGCAGGTTTATTGCTTTGACAGTGATTGGTGATGAGTCTGTTTGCCCCACGTTACATTTTACCTGTACTCATTTTTCTTTGATCTTCTCAATTATCATACAAGTTTTATTACAACACTTCTTTATTCATCACAGATGTACATGAACTGGTAGATTCCACTTTCATAAAGAATACGTTCGAATTGTTTTGAAAGCAAAATCATTACCTGTCAACAGGAGTACAATTGACAAACTACACATACGAGTGGGGAAAATACTTTAATAATAATATATAATAATGCACTTATATTGCGCTCTTTCCACTAGTGTTCAAAAGCGCATTACAAAGATAAAATTGCTCGACTAAAATCACATTTAACAATTATTACTGTTCACAATTAATAATTGACTAAAAATATAAATTTTAAAAACTATACAACTAAATATCACCATACATAAAAAAGCCCCTCCAAGACACAAACAACTCAAACTCAAATAGACCATAAAAGAAAAGCTTGCCTAAACAAATGTGTTTGAACTTAGTTTTAAATGACGTCATACAATCCGCATCCCTAACATCAGCAGGAAGCACATTCCTCAGCTGTGGTGCTGCAACTAAAAATGACCGACTGCCCAAAGTTGCCAAACGTTTGCCTCTCGGATATTCCAACAACAGTTGATTGGATGATCTTAAATTATACCGAGATGGTGTCCTAAGAATATCGAGATCAGTCAAATAACCCGTTGCAAGACAGTAAATGCATTTAAAAACAATCAGTAATATTTTAAACTGAATTCGAAATTCAACTGGCAACCAATGTAATTCCTCTAAGAAAGGAGTAATATGACAAAATCTATTGTTATGTGTAACCAATCTGGCTGCAGCATTTTGAATGCGTTGATGCTTGGCAAGTTGTGCTTTAGGTAACCCACAATACCAACTGTTACAATAATCCAATCAACTGGTAATAAAAGCATGAGTCAAGGTAATAAGAGACTGTTGACTCAGATGCTTACTAATCCGCCTGAGATTGTGCAAATAATAAAAACCAGTGGAGCATACCTTATTTATCTGTTCATCCATTGTTAATCTCTAATCAAACAAAACCCCTAAATTTCTAACAGATTTCGCAGGTTTGATATTAGACATTCCAACTGAAATTTGAGGAATATGAACTTTTTCCAATTGTTTTTTTGGTCCCTAAAACCAAGAATTCAGTTTCATCAGTATTTAACATCAACCTATCATGACATAACCATTCACGAATATCCAATATATAACTTTCTAAAGACAGCTGCATCTTGATTAAGTGAATTACCCAGCTTAAAGGATACACACAATTGTGTATCATCAGCGTAACAGTGCACGGCCAGAAGATGAGGATGAATAACATCCAAAAATTATTTGACTTTTCACTTAAGGCCCTCGTATTAATGAGAGTCGACTGTATACTTCCATCAAGTTCCATGCAGGAAATACGTCGACAGCCAGTTCAATGCTGTGCACTCATGTGCATATACACCTGTACATAACAACCGACATTTCTGTGTTAACTTGCACGTTTTTCCAAATAAACATGTACATAGCATGAGCATGGCTCTTTCTATAATCAAGTCACTCAAACACCATTTGTTACGTGTTGTTACTGCATGCCCAATTTGATTTTGCTGGTTACCTCTTATAACGTTATATATGCTCATATTCGTTTATTTGGTTGATATAATTATGTGCAGGCTTAGATTTTGTGACCATCACCAGTGGAAATCCGTAAACAGATGAGTTGTAATCATTTCCGGAATGGTCATCAATTGACATTGGTATGACTTCCTTCCAGTAGCTCTTCACGATCAAATGGCCCCTTTAGTTCCTCGTCATGAACTTTTAAAATTAGGCAACACTTGTCTTTTTTCCTTTTTTAAACTTGAATGCTTCTATGGTTCACAACTGTGTGGGCAACCACGTCCCCCTTCAAAATTACCATGAAGGTTTGGGAAGTTGAACACAGCCACTACCATGGTACAATGTTGCACATAATGTACATGTACTGTACATGTACAAAGAATAAAAATATGGAAGATTTTAGGGAAGTTTGAAGGTTCCTAGCAAAGGGAGTTGTAGGGTTAACCTTTGAGGTGATGTTACCAAGGTAAGGCTTGGAACTCTTTAGCAGGCTGAAGCATATACTGTAGGATGTGGAAATCTGCAACAGAGCCAAATGTCAGCATGTCTGCCTCGTCGTGGATCTCCTGGGAAAAATGAGAAATTTGGAGATTGTAATTCCATGTGGGAAAGTGTTCCAAATACTCACAGGACCCATGTTACTGGTACAGCTGTACTTGTGCTTATGCACGTACACATACCGTGTACATGTATCTATGATCCAGAGATATCCTTTACCTTTGTTGCTGTTGTTATCCCATCATAAAGTGTGTGAGATCTTCACCTGACAACCACAAACTAATTGTACTTCTATGTTATGAAAGTGGATGTTACCTTTAAAGATATAATGTCTGTGGTCTGGTTGGTTAAACAGATTCATAGAAGTTGCATTAAAAACATAGTTCTCAAAAACTGACTGTGCTTGTGGTCTAGCTCATTTAAGCACATGTGATGCACAAGTTTACCCACATGCGGTGTATTTGAGCATTTTGTAAATTTTTACCATTTTCCCCAGATTTTCACAAATACTGCTTTAAAAAATTTATGTATTGCTTGAAAATTTATGTACTGCTTGAAAAATTTATGTACATATCAAAAATATTGATAAAATACTGCTTAAAAAATTATGTACATGTATGTGGGTGATTCCAGAAATTAGGGGTTCAAAAGTATGATTTTTGGGGTCTCCATCTGACCTTTGTTATTTGATATGGAAATATCACCAGAATTGTTTTCAAATTATTGCTGTTTGTTTGGCAGGTAATTTGCATTAATACATCACTCTTGGAAATCAGAAAATGTGTTCTGAACTTAAAAAGTTATATGTCAGATGTAACAGGGACATGAAAAAAAATGGACCTCAAAATTCTGAAATTACGCATGTGTGGCTTGTTGGCTTTCTGTTGCAGGTTGGTACACATGGCAATGCACCACATGTCATACACTAACTCAAAGTTTGAATTCAAATGTGGCCCCCAAAATGGCAGGCTGTTTGCTTTCTTATAGTAGCAACTGTCAAGGTAAGGTTCACTCAGTGACTGACATGAGTTTTTTGTTGCAGTGGCAAGCTCGTACATGTAGTGTACATGAAGTGTACCAGGTACCTAGTAGTTTGTCCTTTAATATATATAAAATAGTACAGTGCCCCTGGGAAATGATGCAGCGCCCTTGGCAACTTTCAGGAAAAGTGTTCACAGAAGCCAGCTTTTTGGTTTGTTGAAGCATATGTACATTCAATGTAGCATATTAAACCAAGGACAAGATGAATTGATGGGAAAAGTGCAAACACCTGAGGTAAAAGAAGGAAGGATCATTTCATGGCATGGTTTTTCAGTTTGCTTAACAAATAAGTCTATATTCTACATGTACATGTCAAGGAAGTTCAAGAAAGCGTGAGAAAGTGCCACCCTTTCACTCTGAAGGACATCTTGAGTTGTATATACTTATACATATTACTTTTGGCTACAGACCAGTGCAGTATCTCCTTGGATTTACTAGTATATGATTTTTCTGTTTCTGACAAAGTTCCCAGCTTATATCACAATTTCAAGGTATGTGCACATACATTTTAGGGTGATTTTTCCAATACAAACTTAAATTTCAAAAAAGTAGGAGGGCCTGATGTTTCGATCCTAGCAGAATCCTCACAGGCAAAATGAGAAGTAGACAAGGACAAACGAATGCAGAAAGGCTAAGGGAAGAGGTGAGAAGCTAGTGGCTGGATAAAGGGGTAAAGGGGATTGTGTGAAAGGGGCGTGGTTAAGGCACAAATTGATGTGGGGGAGGAAAAGATCAGAGAGCAAATACAACAGAAGGTGGTGGACCCCAAGTAGGAGGGAAAATGAAATGTTGAGAGGCTATGATACATGTACATGTACGTTGTACCTTGTGGACAATTGCATTTTTTTTTTAATGAGGGAGTGCTTAAATTGTTTCAAAGAACCACACAGAATTAAAAGTCCATCATGAAGTGTGATTGAGTGCATGTTTCTACTTGGTGATCATGAAGATGCTGATTGTTACAAGCAGCCAACAGATTGGCATGCACCATCTCTCAAGGAGCTTGTAATGTGAGGTCTATAGCATCATTTCCTCCTTTGGAGTTTGCCAGTGTCAAATTACTGACTGATGGGGACCTGGTTTTGTCTAAGATCCTGTAATATGATCCATGTACCACTACATTAAAAATTTCACTGTGCCTGACATTTAAGATGGAAATTTACAGGAAGGAGAAATCAGTGGACTGTATCATTATGCCGCCACTGAAGTAAACAGAGTGCATTCCTTACTCAACTCAAAGTGACTGATGTGTTTGGCCTGATGCATTATACCGCTTCTCAAAACAGGTCAAGAAATAACATGATTTTATGAATCATTAAAAGTAGAAGAAATATTTCAAAGGGAGAACTCAAAGGAACCTAGAGTTGGGTTACTTCTTTTTTGTCCATGAAATGTTTGGTTGTATTTTAGAATAGGATTCTATATAACATGTATTGCATGAGGATGCTCATTTTAATGGTGTGCAAGTTTTATCAATCATTTTATCCACTCATTGCATGATTGTTTTAGTGTTTCACTACTGTTACAAGACTAGACAAGCTGTTTTGTAGGATGAAGAAAAAATTGCTAATGCAGTTCTGTGTAAAACAAATGCAGTTTGTTTTTGTGTGTACATGTATGTTTCAAGAAGAAGATGGGAAATTTCCTCATGATCACGGCAGTTTGGGGGAAGGGAAGGTTTCTATTGGTTTTTCATTTAGAGTGTAGTTTTGTTGAACACTGTGCTACATGTACACCTTGAGTAACTTGTAGTTAAGCAGAGTTCTGTGTGAACGATTGCCCTGTCATACTCACCTCTGCACCAATCACTCATACAAAGTGCAGATTCATTTTAATTTTATTTTGCAGGTAATCATTGATGTTATTGTCAGGGCAATACCCTGTGCCTTTATGTCAAGATTCCCATAAATGGTTAAATGATTCATGCATGTATTTCCATTCAGTGATCAAAAAGTACTGTACACCCAATGGAAAAAAAAGAAGCTGGGTATTTGATGCATGGATCATTAGTGCTGTCGGCTCCTTGCTTGTGGAGCTTCTAAACGTATAATGAATTATATTTGATTGTCTGGAAAGAGTGAGACCTTGGGAAAGGAGACAAGTGCAATAATGTTTGATTTACAGACTGTAATTTTAAGGATCAGGACTGTTCCTCAACAGAGGAATGTCGCTGGGGAGTCTGAATGGCAAACAGTGGTTAAGAGATGAAATAAAATCACACCATTTCACTGCTGCTGATATTTACTCAACTTGTGCGGGAGTTCAGGGTTTGCTCAGATACCTGACAATTTTCATTAAGACTGGTTGACACAGGTTGTTACTTTCTTATTGTACACAAGCACATGAGGAGTTATGTAAAGAACTGAGCAATTTGAGTTGCATAATACATGTGTAGGTTCTCACACTTGTAGGGAAAGGAAAGACAGAAATCAATCAGCTCGGTGTTGTGCTGTTTATTGTTCCTTTGTGGTTATATATTCTTTTGTATCTGGTTGCAGTACTGTACAAAATGCTTGCAATGTTTTCCCCTGACGTGTTCCGGAATGCAGAGACGTCGTTTTTCTATTTACCCTAACCCACTCTAAGGGCCTTTTTACCAGGGTACATCCTCAATCCTCCAAAATCCTCCAATTGCCCAACTTTAAAAACTGCATTCATCCTCAGTCCTCCAAAATCCTCCATTTTTTGGCTTAAGCACAAAATGAAAGGTACCTGAAACCTTCAATCCTCCAAAATCCTCCGTGGTTCTTCTTTGGGTTTTTTGTGAGGGGGGCACATCAGGTTGGTTGCTGGGCTGAAGTTAGATTTTTGTAGAGTTGGCTAACAGCTTTACTTTTTAATAAACAATGCAGGCGTGCGGCTTTGTTTTAACACACTGCAGTTGAGGATTGTGTAATTTATGACTAGCAGCAGTGAACAATGGAACACATTATCCATGGGTACATGTATATTGTAAACTGTATAATGTGTCGCCATATGCACCACTACGTGACTGATTTTGAGTATTTCATTCACCATTCATCCTCAATCCTCCAAAATCCTCCATGCTTCAATCACCATTCATCCTCAATCCTCCAAAATCCTCCATGCTTCAATCACCATTCATCCTCAATCCTCCAGAATCCTCCAATGTTCAAATCATCATTCATCCTGAATTCTCCAAAATCCTCCAAAACCACCTGGAGGATTTTGGAGGATTGAGGTGGGTTAGGGTTAATGTAATAGTACAGATGATTGTGTATTGTTACATGTACACTGCTTCCAAAGGTACCCAAGATGTGCCTTTTTTGCATATTCTTTCTTTCCTCAAAAAAAAACCTGTCAATAAGAAATCATAACAATGCAAAATAGCCTTTCAAAGGGCTTTAATTTTTTACCATCGCTATCAATATCTTGTCATGTTGTTTTCTTTTTTTCATTGTTATCAATTCTGCCTGATTTTATGAGCCTTTCACTTGAAAGCCAGCTGGTACATGTAATTGCAAGTGATTGTACAGTTCATAATTTATTCAGAAAATACCTACATATATATGAGCTTTGAAACACAAGTGATTGAGAAGTCTTGTTTGTGTACTGGTAGGGGAATGTAGCAGCGGCCTATGTGATGAGGGTATGTGCAGCAATGGTGGTTCATGTGTGGCCCAGTCAGCTAGTCGTTACCTGTGCCTCTGCCCATTAGGCACGGGAGGACCCACCTGCGAAAAGGGTAAGTAATCCAATCAGGACTAGCCTGCTGGATCCCCCTCTCCGTCCCTCCACTGGTGATGTGGTTAGGCCATTTATCAATTTAACCACAATCAAATTGAATTTGGAGCCATGATCTGTTGACTCATGCAGACTGACGAGTATTAAGAGTGCATTACACTTGCCATACATGTATATGCAGCAGTGTCATTACAGTAGATCATTTTTTGTTGATGTTTTTCTGAGAAAAGCAGCCTTTATTAAAATAAAAATTTATTTATGTACATGTAATGCCATTTGGGAATAAGAATGATTTTGAGGGAAAGGCTATAAAAAAGATGTCCTTAAGATGATCTGACATGAATTACAGTGCTAAGCCTCTACATCTAAAAAATTAGGTTAGATTGAATAACAGCTACAAAAATTGTACAGTGTTTGAACATGTTGATTAAAAAATCTGAGAAACTGCCCAAAAGTTGTCGTTAACCAAAAAGAACACAGTTCATTTGAGTGGTCCAACATAGGATTTTAATTTAAGCTCAGTTTGTAAACATTCTGCCCTGCAGATGGCAATAATGTATGTTTACAAAGGTGACACATATACAGGAATGCTAGTCCATGGCTTTTAAATTTTGAAACAAAAACTGGCATTCTATACCTCTGATGAAGGCCAGAAATGCAAGTAGTGTTGATTGGAGGGACAAAAAAAGCCTAATTTTTCTTAAACAGTCAGTGCTTTACATGTTTTTTTTAAATACAGGGATATGTACATAATTTTCTAAAATGTTGTTGAGATTGAATTTGTAGCTCCTCCTATTTTTTTCAAGTTTTAATCACCATTTACTCTGTCTTTTGTAATGGCCATGTGAATTTTCCCTGTCTGTGGGATGACATAATTTTCGATCAATTCTAATTTACATTACCTTTCCAATTTGCATAGAATGAACATACTCTTTGTTTTACTGATGCACAGATGTCCTACTACACATCCCATCTTTCAATGGTTCCTCCCATCTGGTCCACCAAAGTCTTGGCAAGAACCACCTGTCCTTTCTAGAGATAGAGGTTGTTTTCCGACCCCATCAGCCCACTGGTGTACTCCTCTACAGTGGGCAGAAGTTTGCGAGGGCAGGTGATTTTGTCTCACTGGGCATGTCCGACGGCCATGTGGAATTTAGATTTGACTGTGGTTCTGGACCAGCCATTTTAAGGTTTGTTAAAATGATTGAGACTCACATTAAAATTAACACAGTTTACTGAAGTCAGCATATAAACAAGGGTTAGCAAGTGAACCATTCATACTAGAACCAGGTGATACAGTGGAATGCCTCAATAACAAGTGTGATGGGTTTCACTTGCCGTCTTCAGTAATGCGGTTGTCGTGCATAGCGATTTTGCAGTCATAGATGCACACACCAGGCCATTCCAGACTCAAGCCCATTCAAACATGTGGCGGCGTTTCCCACAAAATGTTTCTGTGTTTGGATTTTGGGCCTTCACTTACACACTAAAAAAAAAGTTGAAAATAAAAACACAGGAATTCCTATATTTTGTTAAATGTATGCTGACGTCCTCACTGGAAGTACACTCATGAAATGAATCACATGGGCCTCACCAGGAATGATTCTAATACAGTAGCTCTGGAGCACGGAGCAGAGGTGCATACAAATGTAATAGCCAAAGTCAGCATCGAATGTCAGACAAGCCTTTTGAAAATGATCAAAACAAACAAGATATTAATCAAAGATTTCTGCGAGTAAAGTAACAAATACCAGTGTCTTTGTGCATAAATTCCCGTGTTGGTGCTTTAAACTAAGGGCACTGGCTGGCTGTGCTGCAGGGGGTCTGGCTGGGCAGAAGCTGTATCATCAGTGATGTAGTCTTGACCTTAACCACTTGATGCAGGGGTTTCTAGAACCGGACTCCTTGGGTTTATTCACGTAGCCGGGCTGCCTGAAATCTGACAAAAGAGCTGGACCTCGTAACAAACGACCGCACTCGGAACAAAAGACCGAGCTGCTGAGATTTGCCAACATTTTTTCAGTTGTCAATAGCGGAGGAAATCTGCTATTTGAATGATTATACCATGGTTTTGGCATTCAGCACAAGTGGATTACCACCGGGGACAAAAGCGCTCCAGGGATAAGCGATACAATACTGCTGCACGCTAATCTGGTCCACATTTGAAAAAATGCCAGCATCGCCAGTTTCTGGAACAAGAGAAAATTACGTAACACTGCACAATCTTGGTTCTCTTTACAAGGCGGCAGGCCTGGCTGAAATACTCGGGTGTCAATAGATGTTGTCTGTCAGATTAGAGTAGCCACCAGACAGTCATTCGTGTGGGTGTAAACGTCCAGTAAATGAAGTTATGACTTTTTGAAGAAATTTTAAAACGATTAATGGTATATGGTTAAGCTCGAGACCGAGATCAAGACCTGAGACCAAGACCATAGGGTGCAAAGTTAAGACCTTATGGGCGAGACTGAGACCTTATTTAGACCAAGTAGTATATATAAAAATGAGAGATATACAGAGAACATTTATTTTTCCCCCCCCCCAAAAAATGGTGTAAACACTTTTTATAAAGGCTGAATGAATTTAAATGCTGTCACAGTGTGACAGCAATCTTTTGCTGGTCACGGTGTGACGGGAACCAGTCTTGTGCACACTTCGTGGCTGCATAAGATTGACGGTATTTTCTCAGTGCACCTGCAAGTACATGCAGGCGCCGTACTGAACTGTACATTGCTACTTATGGATACAGCGCCAAAAAAATTTGAACAGTATCTGAACAATGATAAAGTCATGTCTGGCACCTTTGATACTTTGGTATCCACATAAAAACAAAAGACTTTTGACGTCCTATCCATTGAGCATGGAGGATAGGAAGGAAAGATGCAACAAGTCAACTGAGTCAGGTCACTTACTTTGCCCTTTGAACTCAGCTGAGGTGCATGCCATGTAAAAGCCAAACTTGTGCCAGTCCTCTCTGACTTTTTTCTTACAAAATCTGTAGATGGCAAAATGCTTCAAACTGTTAGCCTTCCGGTCATGGAATTTGATGTGGTCTTTTAAAGCAAACTTCATTACTGCAGAGTGTGCCGACATGGTCCTGCTTCAGCAGTTGATCAACTTGGTGCCCTCATGCCATAAAGTGCACTGTACCCAAGTACCACAGTTTCTGTAACTAGAAATACAGTGACATGTGGGTACCAGACTATTTAATTTGGTTCCCCAGAATTGATAACATCTTCTACTGAGACTTCCAAAAGTAAATGAGATAATATAAATTTATTTGATTTTTGCTTTTTCCCAAATGGTATATTAAGGTCATGTATGCTCGAGACCCCACAAGATTTGAGACTTAAGCTCCGAGATCGAGACCGAGACTGAGTTCTATGAGTCGAGACGTTCAAATAGTCAAGACCTTCAAAATTTGATTTCCAGACTGGTCTGGATACCAAGACCTGCCTTGAGACCTACATCACTTTGTATCATGTGTGTGAACCTGTCTGTGTTATTGCAAAAGTTATGTGAGGTTGTCAGATTTCAGATTAGAACATGATTTTTAGGCCAACAAGGTGTGTCGTTGCTGGGTGCAGCAGAACTATGAGTGATGGTGTGATCTGCATCTGTTTCCCACTGAGTCAAGATTTATAGAAGCTTTCGACTGCTAAAGTCAAGACTACTCATGAAGTGGTTTGGTCACTTTCATGACCACTTTGAGCCATCATGCTTCAAATCTGGACAACACAGCTCCTTTGACGTGATAATAAAGCTGAAGATTGATGCCACTCCTAAATCCTTCCTTGTTCCAATCTGCAAGATAAGGAAAGGAACCAGACAAGCTAACCAAATGCCCACATACAAGGGGAACAGTCACCAAATGAGAAAAAATTGGGCAATCACATGGGAACTAACTTTTGAGATTGATTCAAGATGCATTTACTCGATTGTATCTAAAATACATGCAGGGTCTGCTCTTTTAACGTCCTAGTCGCGTTTTTCCTACAAGTGACTGCTAAAACTTTGGTTGGCTGCGGTGCAAAAGTAAGAGAATAATCTCAAAGTGTTAAGAATCCCATGCAGCTATCAGAACACCAGATAATTATTCATGTACATGTACTACTTAATATTATAAGCAACCTTATGTAAAATCGATTGGATAGATGTCCATTTTGAACGGATTCAAGTCCATTTTGAACTGAATAATACATGAACATGTCATTGATACATTGCACCCACTGCAGTGTGTTCGGTAGGCTAGGAACAATACATGTACACCAGTGTGGTGCAACAGCGATTCCAAGCTGGCCCAGCAAGAATGCGTGCAGATTACATCATATGGTACTGATCGTCTCGCACCCAGATATCATTTCAGAGGTCGAAACTCAAGTCGGTTCATGAATTTTGATGCCTTAGTCTCTGTCACAGAATTTGAATGTTAACAATATCCATTTGTGATGGCAAATAAACTAATACTACACCTAAACTATTTGTGACCTGCTCTGCAAAAAGGTGTATTAAGTCGTGCAATGCAAAAACACGTAATGGCCCATTCCATGTGCCAAGGGAAAATATTTTGGAATATTTATATAAAAAATAAAATATATTTTGAAAATATTTGGAATATTTTGAGGCCAATTGCTTGACCAGAAAGCCTCTGTTGCTGAGGAAAAATCAAGAGCGTGTCTAATTTAAGTTTAATGTTTCTGTTCATTATTTTTAAAGGGCATTATCTCAAAAAGCATGTGTGATAAAATGAAATCGTATGAATATGCAAATTGCAAAATACTCCCGTAACGCTAAGTGCCACTGAGATGAATTATATATCAAATGAAAGCTTAGGATGTGAGCAGAACTCAAATTGCAAAAAATGTAACAATAATACACCTTTTTGCCGAGCCGGTCATGTTGTGCTTTTAATTCACATTGAAGATACATGAATGAATTTAGTTATGGATTGAACAGAGTTTGGACAAAGTTTGACTTCCCTCTTTCTTTAACCATGATTGTTTGAAAAATTTGTGAATTACTTCATATGTCTGGTTTTCGCATAAGTTCCCTGTGTTTGCTTACTAAAAAAGAAATTAGAATACCTTTAAATGGTTTTTGCAGAACATCGGAGCCAATCTCTTTGAATGAGTGGCATATTGCCATTGCATCACGCACTGCACGAGATGGTACTCTACAAGTGGACAAACGACGTGTTCTAAGTGGAATGTCAGAGGGCGCTTTTACCCAGTTGACCTTTGGTAGTGACCTTTACATTGGTGGGGTAGATGATGCTTCACATATATCCAAGAATGCGGAAGTAGAAACTTCATTTGTTGGTGATATTCAGAAGGTGCGTATCTACTTGTTAGTTTTTAAAAGTCTACTTGCCTAATACCTTTGGGATCAGAAGGGGTTTTTCTTTGATTTTAACAAGCCTTCGATGGCATTTAGTCATTTGACAAAACTGGAGAACACAAACTCGGTCAAGGTTGAGTAGTTTATTTTTTTCCATAGTCACTTGCAAAGATGCCTCCAGTGAGTGGTGGTATTCCAGCTTTGACGCTGAAAACTGATATCCCTTCATGGTGTTCACCTTTTATTTTGTGCACCTTTATAAATTTTGTTTGGATTTGTTCACACTTCCAGAGAATCCTGAAACTCATCGAGTACCTTGGAGTCTCATATACACAGTTTCCTGAATTTGCCTTTAATGATAGTCAGCATCCTGTCTGCACATAACCTAGATTCTGTGGTTTTCCTTAGCTACTGCAAGAACAACATGACGTCTGGCAGGATTCCTGTCTTGCAACTCCAAATTAAAACCATTAACTCTGAAGCATGCTGTGATTTCAATGTCATCAGGCATCAGCTGCAGACTTGCAATTTTTCCTCAGTTGATTTCTTCATTCATGCCTTTGTTGTATGCTGTTCCAATTGTCAAACTACTGTGCAAAATCTCATGCAGTTCCTCTCTTTTCTGACCTTCTATTTACACACCCATAATTATAAAGCACTTAGACTCCATTACTGAGTTTCCCAAAACGAGTTTGACATGGTTTGTGACATTTTCCACAGTATGTAATGGAACAAAATTAATTCAAACAAAAAGTTAAACCGTGTCTTACAAGTCTAATGCAGTGGTTGCAGCCTATTCCCATAGAGTTGTGTGTAATTTCAAGCAGCGGTTGAGTCATTTAGACATGGCCGTACATAGATGTGTTTCTGAATAACTTTTCAATGCTCCAAAATGTAGAACAAGTAGAAGAGTCAAACCAAACCAAACTTAATAATTCTGAATTGCTACCTTGTACTTTGCACATGTGTCAAATTGTCATAAAATTCTCAACTTTCTGTATGGACCACTGCTGGGAGGGTTAATGGCCCTCCACGTTTGGTAGGTCCTAATATGGCATGGGGCTTAATGGCCTCATCTGTTTGCTGATATCTGGTGATTTCTACAGCGGCCCTCCCCACTTTGAAAATTGTTCCACCGCCATTGGTACAGACCCTTATCTGGACGTTGTGTTTGGTTCCCAAGTTATGCCATCCAGGTTTCCATATGTAAGGAACTTCTACACGTAGGTGCCACATTGAGGAGATGCACTAAAGCATTGCACACTGAGGAATAGTGTGGTCACAAATTAAAGGGTTTCAAATGACACCTGTCATTTTATTGTCATAGAATTTTTTTCAATATTTAGGTGATCATTAATGACAAACCGCTGGACTTGATTGATGATGCCATCCGTGGAGTCAATGTCTTAAACGCCGATCACCCTTGTATCGGCCAACCTTGCCAAAACAGGGGAGAGTGTGCTGCCCAGCATGCCACATATTCCTGTCAGTGCCCACTGTGGTTCCAAGGCATTAATTGTGAAGAGGGTAGGTATATTCGTTGCAAGTTGGTTGTAATTAAGTGATTGGAAACGTCAACCTGGCACAACTGACACATATTCAGCACTTGGACATCGCATAAGACACAGTGAGAGTTGTTGTTATGTGACATACATTTAGCATTATGCCAGGTTGTTTCAGGATCTGATTTAGTACAGTAGATAGGTAAAATATTTGGGAGAATTGTGCTTTTGATAATAAAAGCATGAGATATGGTCTAAAAGTATGAGATATGGTCTATACACTTCTTAATTACAGCATCTGTCAACAGAAATACAATTTCATGAATAAAAATGTATGCGTAATGGTTGCTTTGCTTTAGACATGTAATTTGTGCATGTGAATGCGTGTAATTTCAGACTTGTAAGTAGCTGCACTGTGAGTTACCCATGATGTATTGTGCTTGTCAGATGTACAGTAAACTTATATTCCTAGTGTGGACTCCTAGTTGCAGCTGATATGAATGCTGCTGTTTCAAGCATGACTACAAACATTTAATATGGCGCTTAATGCATTGCATGACGTGTGTACTGTTCAGGTCAAATCTGGTCACCAATAATGCTGTGGCAGATTCCAAGATGTTTTTACTGTAGCACACTGCTGTTGTATTTAACCATTGTAGGAAAAGCCAGTTCCTTTTTTGATTTACCCACACCAAACATATTCACATGAACTCACTGAGCTGAATGTTGAATGTTCTAGTGTTTGACATGTGAACTTGTCTGTAGGACGTCATCGCTTGCAGCTCCAACACAAGAAGCTAAAGATTTTTCAGCAGTTCCTGTGACAAAGCCAATTTATTATTGTTATTCAGGCATGCAACTTTTCCTCCGATCAGCTGATTTCCTTGTTTTTCACTTTACACTCATGTCATCGAAAATTGAAAAACATTGAACAAGATTGCAATTTATCATATCTGATTACTGGATGCCCAGCATATCAGACACAACACAGACAAAAGACTATGTCCTGATTTCATTGTCATTAACTTTTCCTCCTTTTCTTGAATGATTTTGCAGAAATAGATGGAATCGTCAAAGTGCCTTCATTCCAAGGAAGCAGTTACCTGAAATTCACTAGTGACTGGATCTTAAAAAGGTAAATCTTCTCCCCCTCCCCTAAGCTTGAAGTCACATCCTTGGATATCACTCTGAAATTTGGGTCATTATACCAAACTATCCTGTGTTCTCTGTTGCCATGTACAAACTGCAATCTGTGGTAGGGGAAGGGGCGCTGTACGGATAATACAATAACAGGGAAGCTAATTGCAAATAAACCATGCCCCATCTGGGAATTACTTACATGTAGCTGTTACTGTCCTTACTGGATGTCATGGCTTCAAACACTGACTACAGCAAATTTTTGGAGCACTTTTTTATTTTTAGCCTCAGAAATAAACCATAAATTTCACAGAAAACACAAAACCCAGTTAACTAAATATAAGAATCTAAAATGACCAAAAAGTTATTGATAATTTGTATTACTTGGGGAGTTTTCAAATTGTCAAGGTAGCATTGCCTTGCACACAAATGAGAAAATATTGATCCATTTAGCATTCACACTTGCTCTTGATCCCTTTGATCTTCCTTGTTGGATCCACTTTCAACACAGTGTATGTGTAAGTTAGAGTTTGATAATGGAACTGTGTGTGAGGCCATTATCACTTGCCAGTTTATTCATGCTTCCAAACTCATCATTATAGTGCACTGCATACTTGTGCAGGTTGTGGCTCATGCTTTTCTCATGCACTGTAGACACACATGCATTGTACATGTACATGTATGAGAAATCATTTGCATGTAGTACTGTGTAATTGAGGCAGACGGTCATATATATAGACTGGACAAGTGACCACTCTGTATTGATGAAGTTACAGAAGCAAAGATGCACTTCAGCATCGTTTGACTTGCACTTACGGGTACAGTCCACTAATTCAAGCTCCATTGAAAACAGTGTAAAATCAGCGCTGTTCAGGGCCCAAAAACATTCACGCCAACATCCCTGAGATTTCTGAAACACAAATGGAATTCTTGTCCGG